AGCTCAACAAGGATTCCCATCATATGAATGTTACTGACCAAACTTAGTTTGAAGCAGCTTCTCAAAGTCAGATTAATATTTAAATGCTGTGTATTAACAAAGAATCAAGTTTCTTCACTGAGAGCAGTTTAGTTGTAACTCATGTGGGGCTACAAGTGACTAGTGCTGTAATTTACTAGTGTAAAAGTCTTGTCTTGCCTGTAGAAATGCTGTGCATTCCTTTTGCTCTGTGAAAGGGCCTTTTGTATTGCATCCTCTCACAACCTGCAAAAGGTAAGCCAGTTTGGAATGTGCTGTGAGAAATGTGTTCCTGAAATACTTCTAAAATGTGAACTCTTTAACGAAAGGGAAATTATTACTTGTTGTAGTCTAAATGTGTTTGCTATTTTTTGTTCATTCTTTTTGTCACCCTGATCTTTTAGGTAGTTCCTGTTGCACTGCTAATGGAAAGGTCACTAGACAAACCTAGTCCCACCCCTAGTGGGTGGAAACATTTCATGTAAAATCACAGAAGTTTTAGAACAATGCCTTATTGGAGGATGTGAAACAGAAGAAAACTTACAGTAGTTTCCACTTATGTCCTTTTCATCCAGTCTGAGTCATATAGCAAAGTTCTGAAACAGTGATCTGAATTGCCAAGTATTCTGTACATGTATCTGGCTCTTTTATGTCTCTGCAGCCTAGTACTTCACAAACTTCTCATAATTCATTCCAGTAGGGAAATGGTGTGTGATTAGAGCTGCCTATTCCAATGCAGTAATGCGTCTTTGCTAAGAATGAGGCTGAAGCCAGAAAAGAACAGTGTGAGGATCCCTACTTTAATGATTGTTTGGGTAACTCAGATTTGAAGTGTTTCCTTGCCTGGCCAGTGCTCTAATCTCGTTAGTAAGCACAATGCTTTAGCTGTTGCCATTGATGCTCTTCTGAGTGTGTTAATTCTGTTTCTACTTAACAGTTATCTCCATAGTTTATCGTAGCTCAAGCTCATCCTGCTGAGCAGTGGCTCAGTCGCAGAGGCAATTCCGTGGCTGCTGACAGTAAATGCTGAGGGGAGGGATGTAGTACATATAGTTCTGGAAAACTGAATTGCAAACAGGTAATGTTCTATGCTATTAGCAATTGCAAAACACTGTAATCGAAAGGAAGGTACCTTACAGCAGAAGCAGCTTTTAGACCTTTCCAATGCAGATAAAGCCTTTGTTTCCAGGTTTATGGGAAGCACTTGATGCTTTAAGTAGCAAATGCCTTAGAGCTATGAAATTGCTGTAGGCTAAGGCAAACTTCTGTCCATAGGATTATATTCCAGTGAGGGTTTTGGGTAATGCTGCCCAGTTCAAAGGGAGTGCATGTCACCTTAACTTAAAGTAGCTGTTTATCTTGTTTCTCTCAAAAGAATCTGCTGGGAAATATGTATGTAAACAGGGGACTTGAATTTATTTTTCTTAAAGGTCGGACTGCATATTATTGATGTCTTGGTCCTGTCCTATTCATGACTGTAGAGATCACTTTGCCTCCATCTGTAACTGGTTGGCATCTTTGTGGCAACTATGTAGTTAGTTAAATGGCAAAAGAATGTCTTTTGGTCCCTGAAATAATGGAAAACAAACAAGTTTGACCACTCTGTTCCTCAGACAGCTGCAAACCACAATGAAGGAACATACTGGGTTAACAGGGAAGTGGCTGTAGTATGTCATTTTTGGAAACAATACTAGGAAGGAGGCATTTAGACTCAAAACAAGGATGGTCTGTCTTCCTCCTGCATTTTTTGGTTATCTTGCCTATAGACTGGTGCTGCATCAAAAAGAAAATTGTTAACGGTATTCTGATCTGACAGTAGCACAATAGCCATGTAAAGATAAATGTCCTTGCCCCACATAATTATCTACACCCAAAATGCAAACTACCAGGCAAACAAATTGCTTCCTAATTTGTTCCTAAAATGGCAATGATTTGCATCCATTGTGAGTTGCTATAAGGCTGCAAGAGCTTATTTGGCTTCCTTCCTTCCTTGGCCACTTAAGTGAGTTTTATAAATGTCCAGTGAAACACAGCATAAGCTAGGAAGATAAGTTTAGGAGCCCATGAGATGGAAATTGCTGAATCTGATTCCTCTGGTACTGTTCATGTGGAGAAGGCAAATTAATGGTTGGTTTGTGGTATTGCTAGTTTGGATGCCCTGTGGGTTAGAAGGCAGCCTCGAGAATAGCACTAATGCCATGTTATCTTAGCATGATTTTCTAGTTTTTGAGTTCTAGTACATGGTGGTTCTGTTCTGGAGCATCTGAAAGCTAGTTTAAAATGGTGATAAGAAGACTGCTGCTGCCAGGCAGTAGGGTGTTTTTCAAGTCTGTTTGAAGTTTGAGGTGCAAGACCCTCTTTGAGTCCTCTTGCTACTATTTGGTAGTACTGTCATTAAAGAACTTAGTGTTTGGTGAGATTTTAGAATGTCTGTGTTAGGCTATTTCTCTTCTTATTGTAAAAGCTATTTTCAGTCCTGAAACTAAGAAGGGGTAGATGCTCTAGAATGGTCCCTTACTGGCTGAAGAATGCACTCTTGCTGTACGTGAGGGTCCTTTGATTAACCTTTCTGTAAGTATCTTCTTTCCTTAGTTCTCTTCAGAGCTAGACCTGGCTGGGGATACCCCTTGTAAGATTTATTGTGGTATTACATATTTCTTAGCCAAAAAGAATTAATCTTTTTCCAAGCACGTATCTCCAAGGTGTACTAAACATAGGTACTCTAACAGTAAGGGAGTGAGGAGTATGTTTCAGTGCAATGTAGGACACTTCAGATGGCTGGTTACTTAGGATTCCTCAGGAAATGATGAAGCTGAATTTAGCTGAAGCATACTGCCTCTGTGCCTTGCCTGATTATAGCCAAAAAAGGCAAGTGGTTAGATTCTGAGTTGCACAGGCAGGAAGCTGTGTAATGGAGGGTAGAGCACAGCTGTGGCCTTGCCAGACCTGATACAACACAATTGAATATTAATTTCTTCTTTTTTTTTTTTACCTCCTTCCCTCCACTCCCTTTTTTTCATACTTTGACCACAACCTGCAGATGATATACTGCAGTATAGTGAAGTCCTAATATCTTCTGTTGAACTGTTAGTCTTCTCTGTTTCCTACATGCTCTGTCAGAGTAGCTGTTGTAGGATGGTTTTAGAGGTCTCCCGACAAGTCAAGTTTTTCACAGCAGCTTTCTGATTGCTACATCTTATCTCTGCAACAAATCTCCTCATCGTGTACCCATTAAAATCTAGTTTTTCAATGAAAATATGAAATCCAGGGAGGAGCTGCTCTGAGAATGGCCATTGTGGTGATTGATGTGGAAGTGTCAGTGACCCTGTGGGGAAGGAAAGAGGAGGTAAAGTGTGGGATAGCTGCTTGGCATATCCTGTAACACTTAAGACAAAGATTTTAAACTCAAGCTAAAGGAAATGATTATTTATAGAGTAATTTTCTCTTTGTTTGCTGAAGAATTTTGGACTGTGAATATGCAGTTATCCATACAGTCTTTGGTACAAAGTTACATACCACCTACAGTGATACATTTGTTGAAAG